AAAATTTAAGTGAAGAAAACATGTCATGGCACAAACTACTTGCCAAATAATTACAGTAGTCAAATATTCAAAACGCCTCTTCAACAAAATTTATGACTATGCTTAAGAGCTATAGTCATAAATAATGACTCAACTCTTTTATGTAACCTGAATATTTTAAAAGATGGTATTAAACTTTCTGAAAAATTGCTCCTGCATTTTATGTTATAACTATTTTTTAGATAAGATTAATTTACTTTCTCTTTTTTCTCTTTTTACTGAATTGCTCATTTAGTTGTTTTAGAAAAAAAGACATCAGATATATGGGATTTCTGCATAATTGACCATCTGTTTCAATGTAATGATCACAAAAGACTGCAACCTGCCAGCATTGGTAACAAATCTTAAGAGATTCACAGGCTTCATTAGCTTCTCCCTTCAGGGACCATGAAACAGTTGAAATCCACAACTGTCAATTTCACAGAAACATCATTTTGAGTTGAAAACTATTTGTCTAAAAAGAAGGTTTTCCCAGGTTTGTATTTGGAATTTGAAAGCAGTTACTAAGAATTTTCCAGCTGGTTCCTTGAAACCAGGAAACCTAAATTCAAATTCCAGCTCTACCATAATCTGAGTGATTCTGGGCCAGCTCACCACCTCATTTGGCACAACTATAAAATGAGAAGAATTCTCATGAGGGTAAAAAGTGACCAAACTGCTGACTACACACCTAGCACGGGTATGGGCACATTATGGGTCCCAGAAATTTATCTGAATGTGCCCCATCTGACATCCAATCCTGTTCTTTTCCCTCAGTAAAGAGTATCCAGCTCCTATCTGGGTGAGTTGGCTCACACCTGTAATCCCAGAGGATTGGGAGGCTGAGACAAGAGGATCACAAATTCAAAGCCAGCCTCAGAAACTTCACAAAGCCTTAAGCAACTTAGCAAAACCCTGTCTCAAAATAAAAAATAATAAGGGCTGGGGATGTAGCTCAGTGGTTAAGCACCCCTGTGTTCAATCCCTGGTACTCCACCCCCCCCCAAAAAAAGTACATTTCTCTCTATAAAGTTCCATTTATATCCTTACAGCCACGTCCCTTGAGAAAAGGCAGGCCTTCCAAGTTAACTATCTATTCAATCCTTTTAAGAGGGAAATATTCTGTTTCATATGCACTGATATCTCAAAAACTATTTGCATCACTATTCCTCTTGCTAGGAGAATGGGAAAATGAATGGAATCTCTCTGGTGTGAATTTGATTTTAATAACTAACTTTTGTTTCAAAGTTAACTACTGAGAAACTTAAGGCATACTATACAATGATGGCCAAAGGTTTATCCTGCACATATTTTTTTAAAGGTCTTAATTGGTTTATTTATTTTTTTAATTGAAGAGCCAGGCAACACTTTGTCCCACAAAATAGTGCGCCAATGAAGCCTAACATTCTAGAGCTGGAATTCTCTTACAGATCATGTATATATTTTGTTAGATTAAACCTAGATTTTTTTTTTTTCTATGCTGGGAATAAAACCCAAGGCTTGGGCATGCTAGACAATAGCTCTACCACCAAGTTACAGTCCCACATTTGTTTTTTGGGCTCTTGTAAATGGTATTCATTTTCAATTTTCATTTTCTAGTTATTCATTGCTAGTATATAAAAAAATTATTTTTTTACTTTGAGGTCATATGCTATAACTTGCTAGCTTTACTTATTTTCTGGAATTTGTGAAAATTTACTGCAATGTTTTCTAGAACTATGGCATCTGTGAATGGGACAATTTTCAGTATCTATGACTTGTAATTCTTTGCTTGCCTCATTTCAGATTGAACCCAGGGCCTCAAGCATGCTAGGCAAGTATCCTGCACATATTTATTAACTATTTTTTAAAAATTTTTTTAGTTGCCAACAGAACTTTTATTTATATGTGGTGTTGAGAATTGAACCCAGGGCCTCACATATGCTAGTCAAGTACTTTACTGCTGAGTCATCACCCCAGCCCATAACTATTTTTAATCCATTAATGTTGGGTATGCACATAATCATGCTAATATACATATATTAGGGCAATAAAATATACTTATGGGGCTGGGGTTGTGACTCAGTGGTAGAGCACTTGCCTTGCACATGTGAAGTACTCAGTTCAATCCTCAGCACCACATAAAAATAAATAAAGATATGTGTCCATTTACAACTAAAAAAAATTAAACATATACAAACACATACACACGTTTATGAACTTTGATACAGCACATCAAAACACCTTATGTTCATTAGTTTGGAATTTTATCTTGCTAATCAGTGCACTGGAAACTGAAAATATTGAACATGGCTGCTAAAATAGGAGACACTGGAAAAATTGGGAAACAATAAAACATCATGGACTTTGGAGTCAGAAAAAAAAATGGACTTCCAGGCTTTACCATTTACTATGTGCAATTCTAAAACAGTTCTGAATTTGAAAGCTTTCATTTCCTCTCTATGAAGCAGATATTAATAATAATACTTCCACCTTAGGGATTAAGTAGATTGAAAAAAAATCATACATCTTGAGCTCAGAATAATGTCATATATATTGATGAAGAAAACTGTTAATATAAAGAAACCAGAATGGTGTCCTTGATCACAGGAGAGACATTTAAAGCTGTCAGTTAAGTATGTTAACAATCTTACCACTATAGAAATAAGATCCAAGAATAAATAACAGCTCTGCTTTTTGTTTTCTTTTTTCTTTTTTTTTTTAGTAAGCTACATGACCTTACCCAAGACCCAATCTCTTTATACCTCAGTTTATCATTTAACTGTTAAGCATTAATAATATTAATTACAATTCATTGAGCACTAATCATATGCCAAGCAATCTGATAGGTTTATATACAAAGTCCAGTCTTCACAATATCCTTCAAGATAGATAACCTTATCTGTACTTTATAGTTAACTGAAAATGAGAGAGGTTAAACTTGTTCAAGGCCACACACTAGCATATGGTAGAGCCAAGCTCCACATTCAAGTTTATCTCATTAACCTGCCACCTACCTCACCTAGAGAAGATCAAAGGGAATTGTTCCTTCAAATGCACTTTTGTTTTCCCAAATAAATGAATACTCTTGTTTATTATATATCAGTATTTCTAACATTGCATAGGACATACTTACATTAAAAAAATAATCCTTGGTTTATCTATGATTCAAATTTTTAAATATTTATTGGTGCATAATAATTATACATCATAGTAGAATTCACTGTGACAAATTGGTACAAGCACATGCATAATTTATCTATTTCAGGCCCCAGTACCTTCCCTTCCCCTCCACTCCTCTCTCTTCCAAGTCCCCTTCCTCTACCTTTCTGGTCTCCCTTCAATTTTTATGAGATCCCTTTTCAAAAGTGCTTTTTAACATTGGGCATAGGGGCACTTGCTTCTAATCCCAGCTACTTGGGAAGATGAGTCAGGAAGATGGCAAGTTGGAGGCCAGCTTCTTGCAACTTAGGGAGACATTGTCTCAAAATTTCAAAAAAGGGAAAGACAGCCAGTGTGGTTGCTCATGCCTGTGATCCCAATAACTCAGGAGGCTTGAGGCAGGAAAATCAAGTTCAAAATCAGCCTCAATTTAGCAAAGCCCTAAGCAACTTAGCAAGATCCTGTCTCAAAATTTTAAAAAAATGTAAAAAGGACTGTGAATGTGGCTCAGTTATTAAGTTCCCCTGGGTTCAATATTTGGTACAAAAAAATTAAAATAAAATAAAAAGGGTGGGGGTGGCGGGGATAGTTCAGTGACAAGAGCAAGGATCTAGGTCCAATTGTCAGTACCACTAAAATAAAAATTTAAAAAGTGGGTTTTTTTTTTTTAGTTGAAAAGTCCCTTGTAAAAGTAGTTTTATTAGTGTCTCATGTAAATATAAATAGTTTACAAAATGGGTTTGTGATTTAGCCCTTAGTACTTGAAAACCGAAAGAACAAAGAGTTACGCTTTATGTTCTCTTTCACATCTTTTTGGAATTTTGCCTTGACCTCAATTTCGCTTAAATAGACTTGACAAACAACTAATTTAAAAAAAAAAATCAAACAACAAATTAAAGAAAGGATATCTAGATGGTACCCTATGCCACTCAATGGCAGCTCTTTACACACAGAAGTCCAAGGCAACAAAATCCTGTGCTTTTCCTAGAAATGTACACAAAATATTTTCTCGAGCTAAGTTCTCACAAGTACATTTTACAGTTTGATCTCTTGGATAAGCACAACGTGGTCACATAAAAAAGCCCTCATAAACTAGTGCTTTTGCGAGCACTCCTACGTCAAACTCCAGTTCCCGGCAAGCACACATTGGAATTAAATTTCTCAGGTCCTTTTCAAGTTTAGGATGTAAAAGTTAAAGCTCAGCTCCCCCGTGTAAACTGCGTAAACTAGTCACACATAGTTAAGTATGATTTTTTAAAAAACATGCCCCCCCCCCTTGAAATAACAGCCCAGCTTTTAAAAACTTCTGAGAAATACCACCGTTTCTGGTGTTGATGTTGGAAGTGACAAATGAGAGGTAACACGGGCCTTGGTTGGTGATCGCCTGGAAGACACTCCAATCTCCCCCCACCCTCGCGCCCCTATCCCTTACTTTGGGCCGAAGCCCAGCAACACTCTCACGCCTACAGAGGAATCTGGAGGGTAAAGTCCAGTTGAGATGAAGGGTATTAATTTGCCCAGCCAGATCTTTGACTCTGGGAATCCTGAGCGGCTGAATCTGGGACTTCTAAAGCCAACTCATTTACATGAGGAAGAAGAAAAGTCGCCTCGCCCCAGTTTCCCACAGGCTAGATCTCGGAGCGTGGGGAATGTGACTTTCTCCGGTCCTGGGACGTGCCTTTCCTCTTCCCTCTCTCGGTCCCTGAGGCGCTCCCGGAGGACTCCACCCTGCGTGCGTGCGACCGAGGGTTTAGGGAAAGCTGCTCAACCAGTCTGAGCCAATTTAAGCCGACCGGGCACGGCCGACCGCAGGAAGGAGAGGCTGAGCATCTGGCCCTTACCTCCGACGGCGAGATCTCAAACACGCCGGCGATCTTCTCGTAGAGCTCACGGATGCTGGAGAAATCCTCCACCCGGCCCGTGGCGCTGCCGTGCGCCAGCTGCGTGTGGAAGACCAGCCTGCGTGCGGGAACCGGGGGATCTGGGAGGCTCCCGACGCCCGCGCCCGTCTGCTCGCCCTCCACCAGCCGAGCGGTCTCCTTGGACTTAGCCTTCTTCTTTCCCCGCAGCCCCAGCGGCATCTTGCCTGGCCGAGGGCGTGGGCGCACCTGCGCTGCCAGTCGCTGGCTCCTTGGCCCAGCGCCGCGGACTTTGCGCTTGGGGCCCCCGGGGCTCCAAGCAGGTAAAAGCCGCCGCTGGACCAATGGCAACGGCTCTTCCGCCTGGCAGTGCCGGGTTAGGGCCCCCTCCTCCCTGTGGAGGAGCAGGCACCTGGACCGGACCAACCGCTCTCCTTCGTTCCCTCGGTGTGAATCTGGAGAGAAGGAAAGTTGTGCGCAGTCCCTCAGCCTCTCTCCCGGTTTATGCTTCCTCCGGAAAAACTCGATTTCCGTGAAGGCCTCGGATGCTGACGCTTCCCAACAATACGTCTTAGAATATAAACATGCTGGCATTTCTGTGCTTTTCAGAATTTCTAGTGTTTGCTAGATGATTTGGCCGCTCTCCTTTGGGTCCCTAGGCCTGGGCCTTTGGGGATAGGGATTTAAGTGGAACTCAACCTTCATCTGCTTTCTCAACGCCTTATAGAGTACAGTTAGAAGGGAGAAGTCATATAACCTCGAAATTGGTGACATATTCAGTTCATAATCACACACCTGCAGGCAGGTCTTGGCACCTCTCAGTAGTGCTTTGTACTTTTCCCTGGGCTGGTTTCTCTCTCAAATCATTTGCCCCAACTCTGCCCTTCTCTCTACAGAGGACCTTCCTTTTCTTTCCACAGAGAAAATTGAGACCATTCCTTGTGAGGCATGAGGGACCTCAATTTTCCATCCCTTGTCTGTAAACTCCTCCAAGCTAGGAAGAAATCTTTTCATTTGACCCTTGATGTGATCTCTCCCCTCCTCAAGGAGCTCTATTTTTAATCTACCTATTGTGCTGCTTCTCACCAGTTGGTGCCACAGATGGTCAACATTATTATGTTATTTTCAAGCCGTCTATCCTTGGGGTTCCCTCTGGCTGCGTTTTTCACAGCAAGGCAAAAGAGTCTTGAATTATTAGTTGCATTTCCTCATTTCTTTGCTTTTAGACTCACTGTGATCAGACTTTGCCCCTTGGCTCCACTGAAATTGTACTTACTATGGTCAGTACCTCTTAATCACCAAATACAACGAACTGTTTTCAGTCTTGAACTCTAAATGCATCTGACTGTGTTGACATTTTCATTCTTCTTGAATCTTTTTTTTACTATACATATTTGAAAACCTGTTTTAAAAAAAATTTTATTGGTGCATTATAGTTGTACATAATGTTGAGATTCCTCGTTATGAATTTGAACACACACAATGTAACAATAGAATTTGACCAATATCATTCCTCAGTCCCCCACCCTTTTTTATAAGATCTCCCACACACACACACACACACACACACACACAAACACCTTTATTTTCCTTTTTCTTCTCTAGCTTCTATATATGAAAGAAAATATACAACCCTTGAGTTTATCAGTTTGGTTTATTTCACTTGACTTAACAGTTTCCACTTCCATCTATGTTCCTTCAAATGGCATAATTTCATTCTTCTTGATGGCTGAAGCTTCATTGTGTATATATATCACATTTTCTTTATCAATTCATTCATAGACAGACTCCTAGTCTGGTTCCATAGTCTGGCTATTGTGAATTGTGCTTCTATAAACACGGGTATGCATGTGTCATTACAATATACTGATTTTAATTCTTGAGGATAAATATCAAGGAGTAATATAAGGGGGTCATATGGTGGTTCTAGTCCTAGTCTATTTTTTTTTAATTTGTTTGTTTGGTATCAGGGACTGAACTCAGGGGTACTCAACTACTGAACCACATCCCCAGCCCTATTTTGTATTTTATTAGAGACAGGGTCTCACTGAGTTGCTTAGTGCCTCGAAGTTGCTGAGGCTGGCTTTGAACTCACAATTCTCCTGTCTCAGTCTCTGAAGCCCCTGGGATGTGGGATTACAGGTGTGCGCCACCATGCCCAACCTAGTCCTAGTCTTTTGAGGAACTTCCATACTGATTTCCATAGTGTTTGTACTAATTTACAGTTCCACCAACAGTTTTCATTTTTCTCTACATCCTCTTCGGCATTTATTCCTTTTTGTATTCTTGCTGGTTGCCACCCTAACTGGAGTGTAATTCTTGAATTTTGCCTCTCGAAATTTATGCTTCCCTTCCTTTTTGCTCCCTATCCACAACTTTGCTAACTTCTGCTCTCCAGGAAGTGTGTTCACAAGGCTATTTTTCCTTGGCCATCTTCCCCTTTTACTCCACGTGTTCTCTCTGAATGACTGTTTCTACTCACTTTGGTTTCATAGTGTAGATTTCCAAACTGATACTTCCAGCTCACACCAAAAGGAAGGGAATGTTCTACAGGAAACACAAATTGAGATTGTACAAAACTGACCTCATCCTTTTTTCCAGAACATATAGTCTTTTTTCCTCTCCTGGCTGAAGTAAACAGAACTTCAATGCACTCAGTGACCCAAGTCAGACATCATGAGTCCTCATGCCACACTTTGTCCTTTTCCCTAATGTCTCACATCAATTCAGCCCTGAAAATGCATGTTTCTCAAATTAGAATTAACAAATATACTTGGGGAAGATAAAGGAGTCTATAAATTCTTTAGGATAACTTTTTGTTTTATGTTTTTTGTGTCTTAAAATAGTGATGTAAATAGTCAGGTGTGGTGGTACTTGCCTATAATCCCAGTGGCTCAGGGACTGAGGCAGGAGGATTGCATGTTTGAGATCAGCCTTCAGCAATTTAGCAAGGCCCTAAGAAACTTAGTAAGACACTGTCTCAAAATAAAAAAATTAAAAAGGACTGAGGGTATAGCTCTGTGGTAAAGTAACCAGTTTCCCCCTTCCCCCACCAAAAAAAAAAGCAATATAAACATAATCTGGTTCATCCAATGATTTTGAATCATAACTCATAGGATCTTAAGTCTTGAATTTGCCTTTCAAGCCATGATTGCCATAGCACTAAACAGTATTGCTTAATCCTGTACTAATGAGAAAAGAGTAAAGAAAAAAAAAAAAGTAAATGATGCATTCCCATCAAAGCCAAACAACTTCACAATGTATTGTATGGGTTAAAAGCTAAGAGAAGTTTAATTAAAGAAAAGTAGAAGTGAGTCATCATAAAATACATTATCAACATCTGGGAACATGAGGGAACACAGGAGTTGTTAAATTAAGAAAAACTTCAAAGAGAAGAATGCTTTTGAGCTATGTCAAAAAATATTAAAAGAACAACAGTATTGATATAGGGTATAAAGGTCAGTTTCTATACTCTTTTTCAAATCCCTTTAATTTCTAAATGCTGTTTTTCCTTGCCTAGAAAGTGAAAGTGTTCATCAAGGCCTATATCAAGTCCACTTTTGCTGTATTTTCTCACTTAAGGAACCAACTGTATTGAGCATGATCACAGCAGGAAACAGATTTAAGGTATTTTGTGATGATTTAATAAAGAGAATAGGCAGGTGGTGGTCAGGATATAACCAGAACATACAGTATAATACCCCAGGGCTATTTCTATCCCAAAGTTCAAGGAGATAAGGGATTAGAAAGTTCTGTAGAGAGAATCACCTTAAAAAGTAAAGTGGCATTTGCTTGAAGGAAACATCCATCCATAAATGATCTCCATCTCCTAGGAAAGAACCTGAAGAAAAAAATAGCTTGATCCAGTGTTATCCATAACCACAGGCAAAAGACGTTCCTATTACATATCTATATATCAGTACATATGATTGAATAAAATAGACTGACCTTTGTTACTACCTAAAGTAAGTAAATTAAATATAATTAATCAACATTATTGGGTTGGTGATATACAGCACAGTGTCAGAACACTTGCCTGGAATGTACAAGGCCCTGGGTGTGATCCCCAGCATTGCCAAAAAAAAAAAAAAAAAAAAAAAAGAAGTGGAAGTGGAAGGGGAAGGGGAAGGGGAAGTAGAATGGGAAGGGGAAGGGGAAGGGGAACTAGGTCTTCACTTTACCTCTAGGCTTATCCTAGATTATCAATATGTAATATTTCTATTTTTTAACATTTGGTATTTCTAACAGCATTAAAGTATCAACTATGAAAACAAACATAAGTAATTTATTTCTGAAATTGTAGAATTAATACCTTACATGTCTGCCAAAGACAAAACATGTAGCCATCAAATGAATCATAAGATAAATTTACTAACCTATTTTTCCCAGCAAATATAGCCTCTAATTACAATGTGTAACATTAGGAATTCTGGAACAATACCACATTGATCATCCTCCTTCAGTCTCCCCTCAACCCTGTTATGTATGTATCCAGTAAGCAAATACTTCAGGGAAAATAAACACAGGATTTGTTAAACCATATGCTGTTTTCCTTAGGACTAAAGATAGCAGGTTTCAGAATTCCATGGCAACAATGAAAAACTGACAATGGCAAATGGGGGAGGAAATAACTTTTACCTGAAATTCAGATAAAAAATTTGATAGGAATAACTGGGAATAGAAAACTGGAAAAAGGAAAAGGAAATGAAATGATACCATGTGAAGAATAAAGTTAATAATAAATAGGTAATTATTGAGCTCATTGAGAACCTACTATGTGTCTGGCCCAGTGCTCAGTATTATCTGCATTATCTCATTTATGTACACCTGGAAGAAACATTCTGGCATAGAGTCCGTGTCACTTTGCATCTCCAAGGTTGTGGCCCAATAAATGTGAACAGTAAGCTAATTTAATATAAGTTTTTACCATGACATAAATATGGAAAACTGCATGAGGTTTAGAGAGTAGCTACAATCAAAAGATCACATGATTTTAATCATTCAAGATCCATATACAAAACTAAAATAGTAACTGGCTCACATGTAAGCCATAGAGGATTCTTTCAGAGTTGGGCAAATGATTTTCTTTATACAAGCCCAAAATAGTTGATTAAAACAAGTGTGTGTGTGTGTGTGTGTGTAGTACTGGAGATTAACCCAGGGATTCTCTACTACCAAGCTACATCCCAGCCCTTTTTATTTTACTTTGAGACAGGATCTCACTAGAGTGCCACGGCTAGCCTTG